CCCGAAGTGGTTCGTGAACGGGCCGAAGTGGTTGCGATCGGCCCTATTCCCCTCCTCCAGGTGTTCAGCCCGTACCGCGAGAGATATTAATGATCTCCGCCCCTGGCCATGCTTCCTCCTCCTCGATCCTGTCTATGCTGTTTCCAGCCCTTCTGTGTTGGGTTCTCGTGTTGAGACCATGTCTTACCCCCCTTGAGAATAACGGGCCCTCCTCGCGCAGTCGGCCGCGTTTGGGGCCTAGATGGAGCTTGGTCTTTCATGCCGCAATCCTTGTGCCAGTGGCCTGGCCGCACACCAACATCGATTTCGGGCAGACCCATCCTGGGCCCAGTACCCATCGGGAGCGGGCGGGCACCCACTCTACTTTCAACGCCTTCCTACTCCATGTTTCTACGTAAATCTTCCGGCCGATGAGTATCGGTGTACACGCCCTCCTGGCTCAGTCGTGAGAAGGGCTTCTGCACCGACGTAAACTGGGCTCGGGATGAGCCTGGCCAGGATCGATCGGCGCTGGTGTACATACCGTGGGGGCGTTCGTTAAGGAAGGTGCCCAGGAGGCTTCAAACCATGGAAGAGTCTCCATCTGATGAAAGCGGCGGTGATATCCATGGTCAAGTCTCCATGGGTGTTCCACCGGTTCCTTTCAGACCCTGGATTCCCTCCTCCAAGGGAGGGTCTCTTATCCAATGCCCTCGCCATACGTTCAGGACTTGTGGCTTAGCGTGTCGCGGCACCAGTTCAGGCGCGCGACGCCTCGGCGTGACACGATATCCATTCTGCGGTCCCCAGGCGTCCGCGTGCCGAGCTTTTCCAGCCACCCACCCTGGGAAGCAAAGCGGCACACCATCCGTTTGCAAGGCATAGTGTGTCGCCGGGGCCGCCGCCGCGCCACACGCTAAGCAACAGTTCCCGGCCGTACTTGGCGCTCGCTGAATCCCAGGTGGTGGGCTGCGGGCCAGGCGGCCCCCTCGAAGACGACAAGCGGGGGTCCACGGAGGTCGAGTCCTTTCGGTACCGTGAGGCGGAGACGTCGCACTAATTACAGAAACTCTCTCATCAGGACAAGAGATGACCAGAGGAACAGAAATAGCACCGTGGGAAGCAGCGACCAGAAGATTGTAGTTAATCAATAATGCTGCTTCGGGCCCTGGGGCAGAACCCCGCCTCCTGTCTTTCGTTTTTCACACTCAGCCTCTCTCACATTCAGTCTCAATCACTCTCACCCATATCCACACATGCTCAGATCACTCACACCCAGATTTTGTTACACTCATCTTACTTTACTCAGACCCACTCACACTAGGATCACACACTCAGACTCACTGACACTCAGAACTTACTACCAACACTCGTGTCCACCTCTACTCAGATGCACTTGCACCCAGCTCACACATACTCAGACTCACATTCAGACTCATACGCTCAGATTCAGTCGCGCTCAACCTCACCCACATCCTGAACTCACCACGAGGTAGCAGGCCTAGCTTCTTAGCACGCCGAGGAGGAGCTACCCGGGGATATGACACTGGCCCGTTCGCGGCCAGGTTGTGCGAAAGTCTCGAGCGAGGCGCACGGCGTGGACTCTCATGTCTTCACAGCAGGGTGTCAGCGTTTTTCGAGCGAGGCGCCTGCTGCAGCACCCCAAGTGGAGCCGCCAGGCTGTATGCCATTCGCCCGTTCGCTCCCAGGTTGGGGGATATCTCGAGCAAGGCGCCGGCTCCGACCCCCCTGCTTTCAGAGCAGATTATCATGGTATCTTGAGCGAGGCGCTTGTTTCAGCACCCCAAGGGGAAGCCGCCAGGGGGTATGACACTCGCACGTTCGCTCCCAGATTGTAGGAATGTCTTGAGCGAAGCGCTCGTTTCGCCCAGTTGGCTTTTCTGTTTTCAGAGCAGGTAGTGAGGATGTCTCGAGCGTGACGCTTGTTTCAGTACCCCGAGGGGGAGCCGCCAGGGGGTATGACACTGGCCCATTCGCGGTCAGATTGTGAGGATGTCTCGAGCGAGGCGCTCGTTTTGCACCGCCGGCGCATCTCCATTCAGAGCCTCATAAGCACCGCGACGTAGCAGGCATAGCATTTGGGCACGCCAAGGGGGGGAACGTCCGCGAGGGGGTAGCTTACGGCGGCAGAGAAAAGCCAGTTTGCGGCGGTAGAGAGCAGCAAAGAGGAACTCTCACATTCGGCCTTGCACTTCAGTTTCACGCTCAGGCATTCGCAGGGGACGTGCCAGAAAATAGGAGGTGCTCATGCGGGGATCCCCGCGTCGGATAATCTCGCGACGGCGGATGTCAGGGATCGTCCGATTCCTCTCCACCCATTGTTCCGTGTCCCTTGTCAGCATCTTCTGAGCTTTTATTTCTCTCTAATTACCTGGCCTCAGACTTCCTGTCATGAGGAGACTGTGGCGCCTTCTGGCCGCACGGCCTCCCTCGGCGCCCTTCCTATCCCACGGTCCTCCCGCCACGAGGTCGGTTCAGCCGTCGCGCGAACCTGCCCCTCATGACGGCCCCGACGCCCGACGCGTCGCCAGTGCCGGTGCAGGGGCTGGTGCGGATCGATCCGCGTGTGCTCTGCCATGCGGAGGCGTCCCAGGCCTTGCGCGTCGGGTGCTGGGCTCTCGGGTTGACGTGGGCTGGCCGAGGTCTCGCTCGTACGACTCTGCTTTCCGGGAGCCCCGCCAGGGTCTGTTGACTATGGCGGCCCCACTGGCCCTCACAAGAGGCTCGTCCCATTCCTCCCCCTTGGTCAGGCCGGCATTGCAAGACCGGCTCGTTGCGGAGGTGGAGGAGTCAGTCCCCCAGAGACGAGGACAAAGTCTAACCAGGACATTGGCAAGTCTTTGGTCGTCCAGTGCCGTTTCTCTTGCCACACTGCAGGATTCGAGACTTTGTCCGGGTCTGAAGGGAGGTTGCGCAAGCTTTTAGGGCTTGTGTCCGGGATTATTCTGGGAGTGTTGCAGTGCAGTTTTTTTCTCGTGCCGCATTCTGAAAAACGTTGTTTCGAAGGGTATTGCATGTCTTGATCTAGCGTGTCCGGGTCTACGGGGCCCTGGAGGAGGAAGAAAGGGATTCGTGAAGGAGAAGTCCCAGGCGGAGGCGAATGGGAATCGAAGACAATCCAAATGAAGTGCTACCAAGACACCCGAAGAGGGCCCAGGATACCCTATGGACTCACTGCAAAAAACAGGGCGGGTCGTCGCGAAGGGTAATTCCGACCGGTGGCACCACACATCTACTTGTTGTGTCCTTCACACTTCTCTTCTGCTTCCCGGAATAAGTTCGAGGCGGAGGATAAGAAGGGAAGGAAGGGATGATACTTGAGACGGAGGAGGGCGGAGAATGAGAGGGAGGAGAAGATGAGAAGAAAAAAGTCAGAGTGAGGAGGCGGAGGAGAGAGGTTCCCATCCTGGCGGCGTATTGCCGGCATTTGATGTTCGGGTCTCTCGGATGAAAGGGGGCATCGGATGCCAGACTGCGGGTGGCCAGCACTTCTGTTCTCCCCGCAGTGCGAGCAGGGGGGGGGGGCGGCGGAGTGACTCAACAGGAGGAGGGAGGGGAAGGGCGAGACAAGAAGAAGAAGGACAGGACGAGGAGGGGAGGATGGCAGACGGACGATGGGGACGAGGAGCGGGAGGAGAGCCGCTGGAGGGAGTCAGCGGGGCAAGGGGGGTGGTGACGTGATGACACCCGCCCCGTCCCGCCCTCTCGGGCCACGCGGCGGCGCCCGTCCGTGGCCCTTGCGCCCCTTGGCCCCTCCATCCCCTGCTGCCCTCCGCCCCTCTGCCCCCCAAGCCCGCACCCCGCTGGAACCAAGGCTTATCAGCTACAACATGCAGGCCTTGTGTGCAGGGCCAACGCAAGGCTGGCCGCGCTCTGTCGGCCCTGGGACGGCCTGGCAGGGCATGGCGGCGGGGCCATTGGGGTGTGCTCGCATGCCTCCTGGTCACTCGTTGGATCGCGATCGTCCAGCGATGCCCCCCTCTGCCCCGCTCCCAGGAGCTACCCAAAGTTCCAAGGGCTCGCTTCAACACTCCAAATTCCCAGGGCCTCCCTGAAACATCCTGCGAGTAAGAGCCTCTTCTATCATCCCTCCTCCTCTTCCTCCTGCTCCTCCTCCGTCCTTCTCCCCCCTTCGCTTCTAGATGCACCCAGGGGGGTCACTGTCATCCTTCTCATTCCTCATCCCCCTCCGTCCATCCTGTATGCCCATCACCCGAGCAGACATCCGACGCTCTGATTTTTGTCATGGCGCGGCGCCTGAGGTTCCGACCCTCTCCCCAGGGGGGAGCTTTTCGTCCCGGATCTATGTTTGATGGTGCCGGGGCCTGATAATGGGGCCCTAAGGACCGAAACCGAGGAAAACCACCAGGACTGAGACCATCCCGCCCTTCCTCCGTCGCTTTCCTCCATCTCTCCCTTCTTCTCCCTGCCACCGGGGGCATCGCCCAAGCAAAGCCAGGTGCAGCAGGCGCACCCGCTGCCCGCGCCCGAGCAGCTGCAGCAGATGCACCAGGTGCAGCAGGAGGGCGGTGCGGTTTCCCCTCCGCCGTGCCTCCGTCCCCCCTCCTCCTTGTCCTCGTCCTCGTCCTTCCTCCTCCTCATCCTCGTCCTCCTCCTGCTCCTCTTTCCTCCTCCTCCTCCTCCTCCTCCTGCTCCTCCTGCTCCTCCTCCTCCTTCTCCTTCATCCCTCCTCCCTCCTCCCTCCTCCTTCTCCTCCGCCTCCTCCTCCTCGTCTTCTCCTCTTCCCTCCTTATCCTCGTCCTCCATCCTTCCTCCCTCCTTCCTCCTCCTTTTCCCTCCACCTCCTCCTCCTCTCCCCCTCCTCCATCCCTCATTCCTCCTCTTCCCTCCTCCTCCTCCTCCTCCTCCTCCTTCCTCCTCCTCCTCCTCCTCTTCCTCCTCTTCCTCCTCATCTTCCCTTTTCCTCCTCCTGCTCTTCTTCCCTCCTCGATCCCTTCTTCTTTGGGATAACTCCTCCCTGTCGAACCCCCAGACGTGTCGGTAGGGCGGGCAGGGCGTTTCGCCTTAGACTGCTTCACCACCCTTAGCCCTGATTCTTGAAATGTGCAAAAGCTTTACAGATGGAGGGCGGGCCGTTTTCGAAATGTTGCTCCCGATTTAGTGCCGCGAAGATTCGCCTTAAAAGTTGGCAGCAGCTTCACGGATGGAGGGCGGTTCCTTTTCAAAATGTGGCAATTTCCAAAGAGCCGCGCGCACTTGTGTTTTAACGCTTGCAACAGCTTCACGAATGAAGGGCGGGTCCTTTTCAAAACGTGAATATCGTTTTCGTTCCGCGCACATTCGTCTTTAAACTGCAACGCGCCTCAGCGCCACGTGCACTCGTCTTAAACGTTTGCAGCTGCTTCAGGGATGGAGGACGATCCTTGATCAGCATGTTGCTCTTGCTCACGCGCCGTGCACATTCGCTTATACATTATGCAACAGGTTCAAGGATTAGAGTGTTTGAAGTCCCAGGAAGTGTATTTTGCCATGGTTAAGGCTTTGTCAGCACGCTCGTGTGGCGTTGATTCGCGGTCTTGAAGTCTTAGCTTTTTCTGGCACGATTTTGGTCTGTTACCAGGGTGCAGCAGTCACGTTGATCCGCGACGTAGGGATACCAGGAATTGTGTTTTAGCTCGAGTGAGGGTTCTCAGACGGTTGTCTTCTAGTCGGCCACTTCCCACTACAAAGAAAGGCCTTCACGAATTCATGAAGAGGGAATCTTGAGGGAGTGCTCACTGCAACATCGTTGATGCGTCTTGGGCTTACAATGATCCTCCGTCTTCCTCCCTCCTCCTCCCTGCTCCTCAGCCCCTCATTCCTCCTCCTCGACCTCCTCCTCCTTCTCCTCCTTCTTCCTCCTCCCCCCCTTCCTCCCCCTCCTCCATCCCTCCCCCTCCTCCACCTTCTCCCCCCTCCCTCGCAAAAGAAAAACTGCATAAACATAGACGTCCGAAGCTGCGCGTGGATTTCTGAGATCGGCGCTGGACCCCCTGTCAACGCCTCCTGTGCCGCCCCTGGAGCGCTAGTCGTTGAAAGTTGGATTCCCAGATCCCAACCTATTTTAGGCGCCTCCCTACTTCAAGAGTCGAGCGGTTGTCCTTCGTTTCTCCTCTCCAGGGGGCGTGCGGAAACCCAATCTATTTTCAAGATACTTCAACGCCTTCCTACTTCCTGCTTCTACCCACTTCTTCCGACCGACGAGTACGGTTGCGCATTGGTGTGTCCCTCTGGTACTGACGCGGCCGGCCAGGTCGCATTGGGGGGTTCGGTCAGGTTCGCCCGCGCGTGCGCGACCGACCGACTGACGAACCAGAAACGTGCTTCGCACCAGAGCAGGACAAGTGTGCGGCGCTTAGGCGAGATCAACACTGCACCTTCCTATAACATACGCCATGGGGAAACAGGTCCTGAGGTCTTCACAGGTCATGAGGTTTTCTTAGTTCTTGAGTTCTTTGGGCCCTCCACGAGCTCCGGGACTGTTACACAGAGACATACTGGGATGAAGAGTTCGTCCTGGGGGAAGGCCCCAGGGTCCAAGACCCGGTTCCCCCCGGACCCGTTCCCCCATGCCGGAGCATACGAGACATGTTGGCCCAATCGGAGATTCCGAGTCGCACGCGCTCTCACCCGGCGACCCTGTGAAGGCGCTCGCTCGCGCAGAGTCCCGCTGCCCCTGCCCCGACCTGGGGGCAGGAGGGCAGGCGCCGAGCTCCACCGACAACGCCCCAACTCCGAGTAGGAGAGGCGGCCGTCAAAGAAAAGCGCCGTGCCCACACGGGACCGCTTGGACGGCGCAACTTGTATTGGGCGAGGGCGACGGCTCGTTCTCTCGGAAGCGGCCCCGTTTGGTGCGACTCGGCGGCCAGGGACGCGCGATGCACCCATGGTGAAGCTTGACAGTCAGCCGAAATCTGGGCGATTCGGCGGCGAACGACATTTCGTCCAGTCGCGCGAGAGGATTTCCTTGCCCCACTCCTGCCACGCATGTTGCGCTCATGCAGACATTTGAAACGCCATGAAACGCCGACCACGCATTGGTGTTGATTGGTAGATCGGAAGGGTCCGCCTGCGCGAGGCTGGAGGCTAGAGACCGAAGGCAGGGGGACTGGGAGCATCTGGCAACGAAGAACAAGGATACGTAACAGAAGTTGGAGGAGTAAGAGCAGAAGGAATAGCAGGTAGCATGAGTATGGTCAGCAGTGGCTTGAGCAGGAGTAGTGGGTGTGGGCAGGAGCAGGAGCAGGAGAGGCTGTAGGAGCAGGTGCAGGAGGAGCAGGGAGCAAGACTGCGAGTGGGAGCTGGAGGCCCAGGAGATGCCAGTCGGGGCAAAACTCCGCCGCCTTGGCTCGAATCTCCTGCCTCGGGCCTCAGCGGCCACAGCTAGGAGCTCCGAGAACCGGCGGCGAGCGAGGGGGGGAAGTGAGAAGGAGAAAGCCTTCTCAGAAGTTAGCGAGGCTTCTCAGAAGCCCTTTGGCCTTCTGACAAGTTTTCTGCGTCTTCGGGGAAGGCTCAGAAACAGGTCTCAGAAGGCGCGAGGGTCTCCGAGCCTTCTGAGAAGGCCTTCTCATCCTCACTTCCTTCCCCCGGGGCTCGCCGCCGAGAGCAGGCCCCGGCGACGGGCCCCGCTGGCGCTGGCTGTTGGCGCCGGTGGCGGGCCAGCTGGCGCCGTCGGCGCCCGCGAGGGGTCCGCTGGGCGCTGCCGTCGCCCGCGACGGGCTCGCGGGCGCGGACGATGCAGGCGAGGGTCCGCCTGCCGCCGAGGGCGACGGGGGACGGTGGTCAGGAGGAAAAACATCGAGTGCTGCCAGGAGTCGGGAGCGGAAAAGAGGGGGGTGATGACTAGGGGGGGGTGGATATCATGGCGCGGGCCATGATATTTCCCCAGATTTCATGGCGCCTCTTCTTATTTCATTACGTCCCTGGCCCCCCCGTCGGGCCGCGCACATGCCGCCGGTCATGATTTGCACCCCCCCCTCTTTGACGCCCCCCTCTTTGCCGCTCCCGAAGGAGTGCCCCTGGCCCAAGGTGCCCCCAGGATTCTCGGGTGGGCCCGGACGGCATCCACAGCACCCCTCACGAGGCCAGAGGGCCCCAGGGGTTCAAGACTGGAGCGACAAGCTTGGGCCAGGGTCACTTCTAGCAACACCCGCAAACAGGTACGGATACTATTACCCTTTCGTGGGAGGCCCTCAATACTGGGACCGGGTTCGCCGCGGAGAGTCCTGGTCAGAACATACCCCGGAGAGGTGCAGGCGAGGGTCCAGCGGCCGCGGAGGGCGGCGGGGGATGGTGGCCAGGGGAGGAACATCGAATAAGGAGAAGCATATTCCGATTTCCTTTTTAGCATCATCTTCAAAGAATTTAGGAAAGTCGAATAGGAGCAGCCTCCAGGTTCCGCCTAGTAAGCATAATAAGCAACATCTCAGTAGTCGAGTCGGAGAAACTAATAGTGGAGTGTTTGCTCCTCCGTTCGTGGGAGGTCCTCGTCGCCGCGTCTGGATTCGCCGCGGGATCCTGGCCAGGACGCGCCCCAGGATAAGTCCGTAGAGTACTGGTATCGGTATTGTTTTGTTCCCCCAGGTGGCAATCTGCCATTGGCGGATTTTGGTGCAAGAGGTATTGGCAGTGGGCGCAGTGCCTGCAGCCAGATGGGGGGGGCCGGGAGGGCTGCTCCACCTCCGTCCTCGAGCGCACGTGGCAGCGCAAGGCCGCCCGGCGAGGGGCCTGGCGCCCCCGTGTCCCCGGATGTTGCGCGGAGCACTCCGAGCGTAAGGACGCTCGTGAGCTTCGCAATTGCACGGTATCGAAGACGCCTACGGCGAATCATTGTCGCCCCCTGCCTTTTTGGAAGCGCCTATGTGGCCGAACGTTGAGGCCAGACCTGCCAAGCTATCGGACCATGTGTACCCCGAATCGGTTTGGAGAGCCTTCGGGGAACACGTGGGCATCTTGTAGGTCATCTTAGCCGCCTGGAGGCCATTTTGACTCTGTCGGGCCTTCTTGGAGCACGTCTTGGAGGGCTCTTGGGCCGTCTCGGAGGCCATCTTGAGCGTCTTGGAGGCCTCTTGGGCCGTCTTGGGGGCCTCTTGGGGCCGTCTTGGGCCTCTTGGGCGATCTTTGGGGGCACTTGGGCCGTCTCGGGCCGTCGGAAGCCGAACAATAAGTAAATGCCACAATCCTTCAAAAACTCATGGGAAATCAATGATTTTGACCTTTCCGGGCCTTCTTGGAGGCCTCTTGGGCCGTCTTTGGCCATCTTAGTGCTATCTTCGGCCGTCTTGGTGGGCACCTGGACCGTCCCCGACGCAGAGGACCCCAAGAAGCCCCCAGGAGTCCCCAAGAGGCCCTCCAGCGGCCCCCAGGAAGCCCCAAAAGGCTTCCAAGAGGCCCCCAGGAGACTCCCAAGGGGCCCCAAGAGGCAACCACGAAGTACCCAAGAGCCCCCCTAGAGCTCTCCAAGAGGTCTCCGAAAAACTTCCACCACGCATATGCGAACAGGCATCCAGCAGGCCACTGGCC